CTTCTCCTTCAGATATTAAGCCAACAATCGTGGTATCATCAGCAAATTTTAAGATTGGAACGGTGTTGCTTAGCTTTGAATATCATTTGTATATATTGTATAAAGTACAGGAGAGAGAAGGCAGCCTTGTGATGCCCCGGTGCTTATTTCTCTGGTTAGAGATACTTGGTTATTTACTTTGACATATTGTGATCGATTTGTTAAAGAGTTCAGTATCCAAGCATGAATATTTAAATTGACACCTAACGAGGAAAGTTTCTTTATCGTAAGGTGTGGTTGGATGGTGTTAAATGCTGATGAGAAGTCTGAGAAAAGTGTTTTGGCCTATTTTTTAGGACTGTCTAGGTGATGGTAAAGTCTCTCCAACAATAGTAAGATTGCGTCCTCCGTACTTCTGGCAGGTTTGTAAGCAAATTGGGGGGGGGGGGGGGCGAAGTTTTGTTTTCTTTTTTTTAAAATTTTTTTGTGAGAGGTGATATAATGAAGAAAGAGGGGGGGGGGGGGGGTCAAGTTTTTGCTATACTTCATTCAAAATTTCTTTCAGAATTATTTTCTCAAAACATTTCATGACAATAGAGGTAAGTGCAACAGGTCGTAAGTCGTTGTTGCACGTTACCTTAATCTTCTTTGGAATTGGTATGATTTCTGAAGTTTTCCAAATTGCTGGTATTGTGTGAGTTACATAAGATTTATTAAATATATAACAAAAATGAAGGAGAGCTGCTCTGAACATAGTTTAAGGAGCCTACCACTTAATTTGTCTGGTACGGAGGCCTTGGCTGCGTCCACTTGTTTAAATAATGACATCACTCTCTGTTCGGTAAACAATAAGCTACCATCCTGTGCACTACTGCCATCTTGAAATGAATTCATCATCTCATTGTGCACTCTTCCAAAGTCCAGGATGTCAAAACGACAATAAAAGTCATTTAAGACATTAACAAAAAAAAAAAAAAAAAAAAAAAAGTGGGCGATACTATTGAAGTGAGATGTATCATGGAAAGAATCAGTGGGCGATACTATTGAAGTGAGATGTATCATGGAAAGAATCAGTGGGCGATACTATTGAAGTGAGATGTATCATGGAAAGAATCAGTGGGCGATACTATTGAAGTGAGATGTATCATGGAAAGAATCAGTGAGTTTTGTGTTGTAATGTATATATGTGGAGATCAACGAAGAGCAACCATGGCAAATTCAGAAAAAAAGGAAAGAGCGAAAATTTGATATGTTAACTTTTCATTATATTTACATTATGACTTTTAAGTGTTCTTATAGAGCACATGTGTCAAACTCAAGGCCCACGGGCCACATCCGACCCACCGAACAATTATATCAGGCCCGCGAGGTCTTGACCGGAGTACAATTATATCCAAGTCAATGCTATGGTGTTTCCCAATGCACACTTTGCTGAAACACTTAAGCTTACTTCGCGCCGAGTTCGCACGGCGCTAAAGTGACTTTGAAGCATAGAAATGTAATTTCGAGCTGTTCCGTAACCCATTTGTCATAGACGAGGAATCTGCACCTGTAAATTTGCAGATGGAGCTAATAGAGCTGCAGTGTAATGGGACACTAAAGGCAAAGAACGACACTGTTGGGCCTGCACAGTTCACTCGTTTCATTCCTGGAGAGATGCCCCCAGCTTCGTCTACATGCTGCTCGAACCTTGGCATGTTGGGTAGCACAATATCTCTGTGAGCAGCTGTTTTCTGTCATGACACAGAACCTTACTCTCAACAAAAACGAACCTACTTGTTTTTTTTGTTTTTTTTTGTAGCCAAGAAAAGATGCCAAACCTTCAGCTCTGACAAATTGCCATAAGAACGAAATTGGGTACGCCAATGATTTTTAATTATTAAAACTTTTTTTTCAGTCATCATTTATATCCTGTTTAAAGAAAAAAATATTACTTTTCGCTTATGAATGTTTATCCTATTCGGCCCGCAACCTTAACACGTGATTTTAGTTTTTGGCCCGCCGAGCGATTGAGTTTGACACCCCTGTCTTAGAGAGTCGTATAAAACCTGAATTATGCAACTTTACCGATCAAGAAATTTAATTGAGCACATTCAAGAAGAGAGCATAATGTCCCCAAAAAGACATATTGATACAAGCTATTCAGACCACTCGCTATAGTAGTATGAGGAGGAGTATAAGAAGTAAACCGCTTCATTGTCTCACGTGAAAATGTTATTGAATGATCCGCTTGAGTTGGCTTTAAAAGAAACGCATTTTAAGAAACTCTGTTTTATAGTTTTCGATTTTAGATTGTCTTTCCCTAATCCACTGCTGTGCACACATACACACACAGACCAGCTGTGTGGCGGCCATGTTGGTCTACTGCACGGACCATGGCTAAGTGCTGCGTGCATTCACATCAAAGAGAGTTTGACTTTTAAATTGTATTTACTTTTTACGTAAAACCCTCTGACAAACCACGAACTGAATTGAACATGAGAGATAAAGCTTTAAACGTTAACTTTGAACAACGATGGTTCTCAATCATGTATGTGTTGCACACTATAAATACGTATTATTAGTAAACATTCTAATGTAACAATTTAAAAAACAAATGGTTTACAAACCCATGCTTAGTGAGGATACAAACTATTTCGAAGCCTGTTTAAAAAAATAATAATAAAAATGATTTTATAAAATGGAAATTTAAACAATGCGAAATAATTATTAATCTATCCAGAATCTTTTGAGTGCAAGCTTGATTTATTTAAGCGCAAAATGCCAGCACATATCAGCCAGCAAATAGGCCTATCAGTCAGCAAATATCATTCAGCAAATATCTGTCAGCAAATATCAGTCAGCAAATATCAGTCAGCGTATATAAGCCATCGATCTTTTCCCCAAAAATCAACAACAAAGTAATTTTAAAACACCTTAAATAATAGTACACAACACTCTGATTTCCGTTTGTAAAGCAACATAATAAAAACAAAAACACATAAAAAAATATTTACTGGATAAGATGACTCGGATTAAACAGAATGCCATATAGCGTATCATTACATTTTCAGATATTGAACATTCCTAACAATTACATTGAATACAATTTTTATTATTCTCAGACAATGAGATTGATTTATAAATTCAATGTATATATATATATATATNATTTAGGTTCCAAATCATTATTATAAATATGTATAAATCCAAAGTTATGTTCCAAATCATTATTATAAATATGTATAAATCCAAATTTAGGCTCCAAATCATTATTATAAATATGTATAAATACAAATTTAGGTTCCAAATCATTATTGTACTAAAAAAAAAATGCGTGAAGGAAAAAAACAAACTCTGCTAAATTCCACAGCCATGTTTATTTAAGACCTAAGTGGTCGGCCAAAACCCCAAAGAGAGGGCGCTGTGCGTTAAATCCATTACCTTGAAGAGATAAGGCCCTAAATCAAGATGATCTTTCGTGAGGATCTTAAGTGGGTGGAATTTAACTTTTGAACGATTCGAGGTTCTGTCTTATTTTAGCGGTTCAATTCGTGACTGTCAAAGCTCTTTGAAAGTATAATTTGAACTCGGTCATGTCCAAGGCAGTTCATGTAAATGGTCAGAAAATAATGCGTGATTGGTCTGGACGTGCCGGTAAATAAGGCTAGTCGATGACGTCACAAAGATTACGTCTTCCCGACGATGACTTGAAAGGCTCAGGAGAAGTTGAACTAGTTAAACTAGGTTAAACTCTGACCTGACAGGCATGTCTGACGGCTTTAAATGGAGACATAATATCTTTGTTTTGTTTTACAAATAAACATTTTACAGTTTGACCCAAGCTTCCCCCAAGAATTGTGTCTTGATAGTGGCGGAGACATTGAACTGTCTTTTCGTTCAATTATTTCTTTGATAAAAGTCACCTTTCGGAGACTTGGTGTAAATATCACTAGGATGTTCCCAATAGTACGCTTTTAGAATCTAGTCGGACGTGGAAAGAAATGTACTGGTACTTTTGATGTCCTTTCATCTTCTATTCTATTTCTTGACATGATCAAAATTGAAAATAAAATGCAAAACAAACCTTGAATAATTCGAATTGAAAATGTATCATTTTTTCAAGTGAATAATAATTAAAAAAAAAAAGAATAATATTAATATTAATTATTTCTTCAAATCAGGATTTATGACTAGTCACGTGAGAGTAACTATGTGAGGGTAACTTTGTGAGAGTAACTATGAGAGTAACTATGAGGGTAACTATGAGAGTAACTATGAGAGTAACTATGAGAGTAACTATGAGGGTAACTATGAGAGTAACTATGAGAGTAACTATGAGAGTAACTATGAGGGTAACTATGAGAGTAACTATGAGAGTAACTATGAGAGTAACTATGAGGGTAACTATTATTTGCGTAGTCAAAACACACCTGTTTTAAACGTTGTAAAAATGAACTTGGGGAGAGTTTGGATTTAGTGCATCCAAAAATTTATATCACGTGACATCGGTGTTTTAGATTGTGCATACATTGAGATTTTTTTTTTTCGAAACTATATTTTATCTTGTGTTTAAGGCTCCAAAAGGTTCGAATTTTTACAAATTATAATCAATGATAATAGAATAACGTAATCTTACTTTAGGGACGAGTGCACCAAGCACAAATCTACGCCCCTGGGAGAATAGAGTTTATTACCACCAAATCACACCATTGAGAACCATGCATCATTTCAACGAGGTGTCTAGGGCAGTGGTTCCCAAACGTTTAAGTTTGGCGGACCGGTTGAACAATTTTCGACATTTTACCAGGGACCGGTGCATGATTTAGTTTTATACTTTTATTTCTATTGGACAATAAATCTTTATGTTATGGGGACCGGCAGCGTTAGGCCAAGAGGACCGGTTGAAGGTCCACGGACCGCCAATTTGGGGACCACTGGCCTAGGGGGTACGCAATCGCCCAAGCTGAGAACTGTTCTATTAAACTCTGGCACCAGTCTGAGCCGTCCGGTAAGGGCCCACGCCGACAATGGCGAATAACCGATCAATAAAGGGGCGGAGGGGTGAATGAAGTGTCATAAGCAAATCGGGCAGACGTGGGACGGATTAGCGGTAGGAAAGAACACGATTTTACGCGCCACCGTGTAGTGTGTAGCCACCGTTGGTTTAGCGTGTTAAGCTGCAGTTCGAGACTAGCAGACGAGAGACGAGATTAGGTTCAGTGCTATGGATCGCATGGAACAAAAAAAAGAGGATTTATACGTTACTTGGAGGAGATAAATGAATTTAAGGACTCATATTCAGGCTCTGTGATTGAATAACTAACTTCAAATATGTAGATTAGTTAATTTTTTTGCTATTTTTGAAAAGTTTTTTTTTGGACAAAATAATTGGTCAACAAATAAACTAACAATTTGTAAAAAAAAAAAAAACAAGAAAAAAAAAAAAAAACAAACTTAATTTTTTTGCTATTTTTGAAAAGTTTTTTTTTGGACAAAATAATTGGTCAACAAATAAACTAACAATTTGTAAAAAAAAAAAAACAAGAAAAAAAAGAAAAAACAAACTTCTATCTTATCATAAAATGAAGTCGATAGTTTTCCACCAATGATGACATGAAAGAAAATATCAACAGCAAGTGACTTCAAAAAGCCACCTTCATTAGTTGACTGATTTCAAAACGGAACGTGTTTATTGATTCTGACTTATTAAAGACAGATGGTCCAACTGACGTCATAGTGTGTCACCCGTTATTATCATGTACAGAGACGTATTGGAATAAATACACAGATGAATGGTGTGTACTTTCGGGAGCTTGATTTGGCGTTGTTGTTTTATTTTTTAAAATGTTGAAACACAAGCGACTCGTCAAATAGAAGCAATTAGAAGAAGAAGAAGAGTTGATCACGTTGCGGGCGGTCACTCTAGGAAATGAGTGTAGAGTTGAACATGGTAAGTGTTAACACAAAAGACGTTGTAGTAGATTATCATTTCTTTATGTCCTTCTTCATCATACTCCCAGTACCCGTCTATGTCGTACTTTACCAAACTCCCACTACCTTCTATGTATCACTTTACCATACTCCCATAACCCGTCTATGTCTCACTTTACCATACTCCCACTACCTTCTATGTATTACTTTACCATATTCCCACTACCCGTCTATGTCTTACTTTACCATACTCCCACTACACGTGTATGTCTTACTTTACCATACTCCTACTACCTGTCTTTGTATTACTTTACCATAATCCCACTACCCGTCTATGTATTACTTTACCATACTCCCACCACCTGTCTATGTATAACTTTACCATACTCCCACTACCCGTCTATGTATTACTTTACCATACTCCCACTACCCGTCTATGTATTACTTTACCATACTCCCACCACCTGTCTATGTATTACTTTACCATGCTCCCACTACCTGTCTATGTATTGCTTTACTATACTCCCACTACCTGTCTATGTATTACTTTACCATACTCCCACTACCCGTCTATGTATTACTTTACCATACTCCCACTACCGTCTATGTATTACTTTACCATACTCCCACTACCCGTCTTTGTATTACTTTACCATACATTACCATGCTCCCACTACCTGTCTATGTATTGCTTTACTATACTCCCACTACCTGTCTATGTATTACTTTACCATACTCCCACTACCCGTCTATGTATTACTTTACCATACTCCCACTCCCGTCTATGTATTACTTTACCATACTCCCACTACCCGTCTATGTATTACTTTACCATACTCCCACTACCTTCTATGTATTACTTTACCATACTCCCACTACCCTTCTATGTATTACTTTACCATACTCCCACTACCCTTCTATGTATTACTTTACCATACTCCCACTACCCGTCTATGTATTACTTTACCATACTCCCACTACCCATCTATGTATTACTTTACCATACTCACACTACCCGTCTATGTATTACTTTACCATACTCCCACTACCTTTCTATGTATTACTTTACCATACTCCCACTACCCGTCTATGTATTACTTTACCATACTCCCACTACCCTTCTATGTATTACTTTACCATACTCACACTACCCTTCTATGTATTACTTTACCATACTTCCACTACCTTCTATGTATTACTTTACCATACTCCCAGTACCCGCTATCCAAGTCTTATTTAATACATTTTCTGGCAAATTATTTGGGTATGGATTTGAGTATATTATTTATTCATACGATTCATAAATATTATTCATACAATGATTCATAGATATTTTTCATGCTCATTATTCATACATATTATTCAAAAATATTGTTCATACATGTTATTCACACACATTATTCTTGTATATTATTGGGGAAAATTATTGAAGCATAATATCTGCTCATAATATTGGGACATATACAATGGACGATTCATTATCTTTAAACACAAAGATGTTTAGATATGGATCTATTGATGGTGAGAGAAAATTCGTTAAATTAGATAAACAAATGTCTATTTTCTAAAATGTCCAAGCTCCACATAAATATATATGATATAATATAATCTGTAATCCTAAACTTACTTAGGTTAATCCTTTATCATACTTAAAACACGGACAAAATAAGTTTAGCTAAATAGTTAACTTCACCCAACGTTTATAATAATCTCGCAATGCACTTTTGTGATGTACTCGTTCAGGTAGATTCTTCATCTTATTATAGAATAAAGTCATTGTTTTGACCTTAATAACTAGATATATGCAAACTAATAACGCTATTTTGTTTAGTGTGAAAATATTTTTGGACAAATTAATTGGTCAACTATTTTATAGGTCATATACTTTAGCTGCTTGCATTTTTTAACGCAGAGAACCGCTGAACTAATATATTAAAGATGGATGGTTCAACTTACGCCGTACTGGGTCACTCGTTATTTTACTGTCACCAAAGAACTGGAATAGTTTCTCTGTAACAAGGGTCAGTTACAAAGTAAAAAATAAAAGATTGAATTGATGAATAATATTGCAAGAAAAAATTAGGTCCGAATCCTCTAATAAATGTTCAAAAGTTTAATCCCAGAGTCCTAGAGACTGGTTTTGTGCCGGCTTTATCGGTTGTTATGATGCTAGAACAGCACCCAGATGACCACAGAATAAAAACCGCTCAAACATAATTTTATTTCTATCCACAGCCAGAAGCTAAACATTATGACACAAAAAGTAAAGTCGCTGTCTGTAAGTAACGACATTTTCAGTAGGCTTCCAACTTTCAATTTCTTGAGGCATTTCATGTGAAATCAAGCCATTTCATATCATAATATTATATGTATACCGTTATATTTTTTAGGATGAATATTTTAGAATTTAAATTAACCAAATTCATCTCTTAATAATATAAAGATTATTGGCTGCATAAAGGGCCAGATTATTGGCTGCACACAGGGCAAGATTATTGGCTGCATAAAGGGCCAGATTATTGGCTGCATTCATGACCAGATTAATGATGGCACACAGGTCCATATTATTGGTTGCACTCAGAGCCAGATTATTGGTGGCACTAAGGGCCAGATTATTGTTTGCTCTCAGGGTCAGATTATTGGTTGCACCCAGGGCAAGATTATTGGCTGCACACAGGGCCAGATTATCGGCTGCACTCAGGGCCAGATTATTGGTTGCACGCAGGGCAAGATTATTGGCTGCATAAAGGGCCAGATTATTGGTTGCTCACAGGGCCATATTATTGGTTGCATGCAGAGCAAGATTATTGGCTGCGAAAAGGGTCAGATTATTGGTTGCACTCAAAGCCATATTATCGGCTGCACACAGGGCCAGATTATTGGCTGCGAAAAGGGCCAGATTATTGGCTGCACTCAGGGTCAGAGTTTTGGCTCACTAAGGATCAGATTATTGGCTGCACTAAGAATCAGATTATTTGCTGCACTAAGGATGAGCTTATCGGCTGCACTCAGGGCCAGATTTTTGGCTGCACTCAGGGCTAAATTATTGGCTGCACCAAGGACCAGATTATTGGCTGCACTCAGGGCCAGATTATAACTTTGGCCTCCAAGGAATAACGAACAAAAAGAGCCAATGGTTATTTAATACAGCACTATTTAATACAATACTATTTAATACAACATTATGTAACACAACACTATTAAACACAACATTATTTAACACAACACTATTTAATACAATATTATGTAACACAACACTATTAAATACAACTTTATTTAGCACAACACTATTTAACACAACACTATTTAATACAACATTATTTAGCACAACACTATTTTACACAACATATTTAATGCAACACTATTTAACACAAAACTATTTAACACAACACTATTTATCACAGTATTTAATACAACACTATTTAACGCAACACTATTTAACACAACACTATTCAACAAACACTATTTAACACAACACTATTTAACACAACACTATTTAACATAACACTATTTAACACAACACTATTTAACACAACACTATTTAACACAACACTATTTAACACAACACTATTTAACACAACATATTTAATGCAACACTATTTAACACAACACTAAAACCAAACAGCAGCAGGGGCCTTCCAGAGGTCACGTGACGGCACTTGGATTGCACGAATTCTTTGAATGGAATAAAACTAAGAGTTGGTTAAAATATATGAGGAAAGCAATCAATTTGAAGACGAATGAGGAATAAAAGAGTTGCACTATAATTCTCACCAAAAATCCCACCCCACCTCCCTTTTTCCCCCCAGTGACATGGCTGACAGTCGTATCTGCTGTTGGAATCATCAAAATTGTTGTTGGTAAGTTCTTAAAAAGAAATTATGGCATAATGTTAAGTCTATTTATCATAATGAGAACGGTTGGATGTGTACACACCTGCATGGCTAGCTTGAAAGACAAAGCGTAATGTGGCGCATATTACTCCTCATCCTCATGTCCCTTAGTCCTTGGACCGTTGGGCGCCACAGATGACATGTGAACCATCCTCCTCCATTCCTCTCTGTCTTCAGCACTACGCACTGCATCGCCCAGTGTTAGTACTGTCCACTCTTTGATGTTATCCTCCCATCTTTGTCTTTGTCTTCCTATTCCTCTCCCTCCTCTTGTGGTGCCCTGCAATATTTCTTTGGCAAGCCCTTGTTTCTTTGTTACGTGGCCGTACCATTGTAATTTGCGTTTTTTCACAGTCATCGTAGGTCATCGGACTCCCCAATTGCCTGGCGAACCCTTTCTTTTACTGTATCATTGGAGATATGGTCCCTACAGCAGATGCCAAAAATGCTTCTGAAGCATCTCATCTCCATCGCCTTTATTTTCTTTTCAAGATCGGCTGTTAATGTCCAGGATTCGCAGGCATACAGGAAAATGGAGAGGACTAATGAGCGCATCAGCCTGATTTTGGTGCTAGGGGCTATATTTTTGTAATTCCATATTTTCTTGAGCCTCTTTAGTGCTGTTGTAGTCTGCGCAATCCTGGACATCAGTTTGGGCTTGGGGCCTTCTTCTGAGACTATTGCTCCTAGGTATTCTACAGTCTCTAATCTTTCCTCCCCGACCCTAATTTCAGTGGTGATCCCTGCGGTATTATTTGTCATCAGTTTTGTCTTTTCGGCACTGATAAGCATGCCGTAGGACGACGAGGTCTTATCGAGACGCTTTACCAAGTCGGCTAGCTCTACTTCGTTCCCAGCCAGCATGTCTACGTCGTCCGCAAAGCGTAGGTTGGTGATTGTTCTCCCACCAATGCTGACTGTCCCTTCATGCGCTTCCAGAGCATCTGGCATAATTCTCACTAGGAAGATGTTGAACGGGGTGGGGGAGAGAAGGCAGCACACTACTCACCATGCCAATAACATGTGCATACATTTTATAAAGTCAGATTATAATTTACATGGCAGAAATCATCCTAAGAAATTATATTTTAAGGACGTTTTTAGTTAAATGTCGTATTGTTACAAAATTTAAAATTTACGCGAAAGCTATAAAATAATGAAATAGATAAGGAAAAAACAAGAACATACTAATTTGTTTCAAAGGTTTAGGCCGTATAGATAAATGTTGCTTGAAATCTGCAAATATCACAAACTTAATCAACTGCTAGGCGTGGCTTACTTTCACCTCAAAGTAATTTATTCCTAATATGTCCAAGTGATCTATTTCTGCAAGAATTTAAGTCTTTGAAATTTGTACAGTCTTAATTAAGATGAGAAGTTAAAGTTGGCAGACATGGAAAAAGAGCTTAGATTTTTTTTTCCATTTAGGTTCCTTGAACGTCAATGACGGATGTATAGGTTTGTCTCTGTTGCCTTACTATTTCCTGATTGGTGGAATCCTGGCCTTGCTCCCAGCAGTCCTAGCTTTCTTGACATCCTGCCTGGGGCAGACACAGAACCTACAAGAGATCTGGGATCTGATGGCAAAAGTCTTTGCCGGATTTCTGCTTCTCATAATAGTCGGTAAGTATATTCTATAAATGGTCTCATTGCATTCTTATATTATGTACTCAGTTTTACTTGACAGTTATACTTTTTGTACATAGCCTCACTTGACAAGTATACTTTTTGTACATAGTCTCACTTGGTAGATGTATTGTTTTCATATATTCTCGAAATGGCAATAAAAAAATGTGTATAATATGTGAATGAAAAGTTTATCATTCTTTCGGCGTAAATTTTTTGATTTTTCACCAAATAGTGTACCATGGGGTCGTTAAAAATTACCGCATTCAGAAAACAAAAATGTTAAAAATGTGTAAAACAGGTCACGTAATGGTAGGTCACGTAATGGTAGGTCACGTAATGGTAGGTCACGTAATGGTAGGTCACGTAATGGTAGGTCACGTAATGGTAGGTCACGTAATGGTAGGTCACGTAATGGTAGGTCACGTAATGGTAGGTCACGTAATGGTAGGTCACGTAATGGTAGGTCACGTAATGGTAGGTCACGTAATGGTAGGTCATGTAATGGTAGGTCACGTAATGGTAGGTCAAGTAATGGTAGGTCACGTAATGGTAGGTCACGTAATGGTAGGTCACGTAATGGTAGAATCTGCACCTACAAGCATTGCCACAATGTTTGACTCCAGTCGATGCAACATTTCCGACTTTATTAATTTTTTTTTAAATTCTCCCTGTTTTAAATAATTATTTATTAAAAAAAAAATTTGATTGTATACAATAATTATTAAACGTATGATAAATAACTTGTGATAGCACCATTTTTAATCGTTTCAGATAAAGATTTTCTCTTCTTCATCTGAGCCAGGTCTTTACTACTATTTTGATTAAATAGAGACTTTTGACCATAAACCATTTTCAGCGTATGATTTGATTATATTCATTCCCATTAGAGTCATATGTTTATGATTGACAAATGCTTCAGTTGGTCCTGTTAAACCATCGAGACACTGTGCATGACTTGCAAAGTTGATCAAACGTACGCATTTGTTTCCAGGAACAGTCTACCTCTTGACCAGCGCCGTGCGAGTGACGGGCATGGACAGACTGTGCACTCACACTTGGGTTCCCATCCTGGGCATCTGTATCATTGCAGCTGACTGGCTGACCGTTGTGTTCTTCTATCGCCTGTTCTGTGTTCACGAACATGTGGCCCTGCCAGAGGGGGCACCCGTTCTGCCATTTCAGCACGAATCTCCTTTCCACCTCTGGAAGATCAGGCAGCACAGGAGATTATACCAATGAGGCTGTAACAAAAAAACAACAAAAACACCATAACAACAACTTTACTATTTAATTTCTTTGTTAAGAGAATGAAGAGATGAGAGTGAATGGATACACATAAAATCAGGTGATGTGAATTAAGATTTCAAATTGTTAATTTTTCAGAAGTGTGGAACCGAAAATATAGAGCTGTGGTGCCAAAGACAATGATGATGTTTACGTTCTTCTTTTCAAGTCGAACATCTTTGGCAGATATCAACACAATTTTTCCCTATATTTAAGGGCCACGATTAATTTAACAATCATTCTGGTTCCTGTTTAGAACTCAGAGTTAGCCTTCTCTTAGATGAATGGCCGTCCAAGATGTTTATGCTTGTCTTGGCTTTGGGGATTGTACTCTTAGACGATCAGCTTTTTGGATTGAGTCAGTTGAGACCGCTCGGCCAAGCAGCATCACATGTACTGAAACAAAGCATTTGATTGTTGACTGTTGATTGCCGATTGTTGATCACATGATCCAAAGTGATGAAGTCTCTAAAATTAATTTGGAAATTAAAAAAAAAACAAAAAAAAAAAACTGGTGAAAAGGTGTGACGTCACATGGTGTTCTATTTCTGTTAGAACATTGTTTGCAGTCTCGCTGAAGAATAATTTACCAGGGATTGCAGGTAAATCGTATATCTGCGGTCAGAGAAATGTACGCAGATAGGGAGTTCAAGTTTAAAGTGGCATTTTTCTATTACACCGGTTCTTAACCTTCGTAATGCCGCGACCCTTTAATACAGTTCTTCACGTCGTGTTGACCTCCAACCATAACACATATTTTCGCTGCTACTTCATAAATATATGTTTTCCGATGTTCTTAGGCGAAATCTGTGTAAGGGTCGTTCGACCCTTAGAGGGATTGCGACCAACAGGTTGAGAACCGCTGTTCCATTACAACAAAAAAAAACAACAAAAAAACTGCTTTTCTGATTTTTATCTGGCTTCAAATTGTTCTCAAGCCAAATCATTTTGTGGGTCAAAAAGAGAGAGAAAATAATTGTGGCGGGACAATTGTAAACAAAAGTGACACTGAAGGCAAGTGTGTTACTTAAATGGATGTGTGACAAAGAAATCAGCGCTATGAGAAGCGATATGAGAAGCGATATGAGAAGCGATATGAGAAGCGATACGAGAAGCGATAGGACAAGCGATATGAGAAGCGATATGAGAAGCGATATGAGAAGCGATATGAGAAGATATCAAAATCACCAAGCTTCAGACTATTGAATAATTTATTTCTAATTGTTGTACTTAGTTACCACAGTGACACACATCTTTGTTACCATGGTGACGAAAAATAAATAAGTCGCTTTGCCTCTTCTGTGATATATTGACACATTTTTACAACATCGTAAATGTTCTTTGACAACATGGTTAATGCACACATAAAACTTTATAGCTTCATTTTCAACATAATTAATTTATTAATGTCAATGTATAAAATCATCAATATTCGCATACAACATGATCAGTGCTCATGTATGACATTACAAATGTTCATGCAAAATCAAATGTTCATATGTTTATTTGTTTACATGTTCATTGGTTTATAATTTCATATGTTCATATGTTTATATGTTAACATGTTCATAAGTTGATAATTTCATATGTTCATATGTTTACATGTTCATATGTTGATAATTTCATATGCTCATATGTTTATTTGACAGAGACTAATTAAAAGTCTGCCATCATTTTGTGCATTTATTTCATGTACGTAAATCTATATAATGAGATGAGTCTCTTGAAGGGTTTGGGTAGGAACCCTGGAGGAGAGTCTTTTTGTCGGAGGTTGGAGCATGGCCTGTAAAATTTCTTACTGCTCCGAGCTCCCAAAATTTTGTTGGCCCCACTCTTCGGCGAGTTATGTCGCCCAACTGTTCTACTTGCTATGTTGCCCCACTCTTTTACAATTATGTTGCCTAACTCTTCTACCTGTTATGTTATGTTGCCCCCACGAGATCACTCCGCTATATTGCCCCACTCTATTACAAATATTTTGCCCAACTCTTCTACATGTTATGTTGCCCCCCACCAAATCACCCCACTATGTTGCCCCACTCTTCTACCTGTTATGTTGCCCCCCAATAAATCACCCCTCTATGTTGCCCCACTCTTTAAACAGCTACGTAGCCCCCAGTTTCTACCAGCTATGTTGCCACACATTTCTGTACCAGGTATGTTCCCCAACTCGTCTCCATATATATGGCTCGTACATGTGTTTCTCTTGCATAGTTCATAGGATGGGTTTGTGACAATAATAAACAATTTTTTTAATAAAACACTTAGCATCCCCACAACCACCCCTCAACCCCTTTTCAATTTTGCCGTTGCTCAGAGCGGAGTGGAGATGACATACATTTGTCCGTAGTGGAGTTGACATAAATTTGTCCGGAGTGGAGTTAGATCTAATATAAATTTCTCCGAAGTGGAGTTGACATAAATTTTTTTCGGAGTGGAGTTGACATAAATGTGTCCGTTGTGGAGTTGACATAAATTTGTCCGTAGTGGAGTTGACATAAATTTGTCCGGAGTGGAGTTGACATAAATTTGTCTGGAGTGGAGTTGACATAAATTTGTCCAGAGTGGAGTTGACATAAATTTGTCCGGAGTGGAGTAGACATAAATTTGTCCAGAGTGGATTTGACATAAATTTGTCCGGAGTGGAGTTGACATAAATTTGTCCGGACCAGAGCTCGACCCAAAAGTGCTGCTTCAAATCCCTGGGATTCTTGTCTTATTCAATAATCCAACTAGACATAGAGCGCGATTAAACCAATGGAGAAAAGACTAGACAATACGGAACTGCCCTATTTAAATGGACGGTTAGTAGTTTTTTTAAAAATTTATTGTTGTTATTTAAGTTGCAATAAAATATTATTACATTATGATGTTTTTGTTTTTTTTTAAATTTCAATCACTTTGTTATCTCTCTTTATTTAAAAAAAAAAAAATAAATAATAATCTTTAAAAGCCAACAGCTCTAGAGCAAATGCAAGGGGCAAAAACTCTATTTGAAATATATGCCACATAATTTTAAACATTATTTCGGTTATGGGCTTTGGATAGGTTAGCGATATAATCTATCTATTTTCACCCCCAACTCTTGAACATTTACATATGAAAGAAGAAAAATATACAGCTTAGTAATTAATGCATCAAACGGTAAAAAATTACTTTTAAAAAATACAACAAAATTACCTTTTAAATAACCAATTCGCGGTTTTCATAATAATGACCTTTAAAATATTAACACAATCGGAGTGAAAACTAATTTAATCGTATTATGTTTGATTCAATTGCTCTCTTGGCCTTGGAGTAATCATAGAAACTAACCTTAAAAGAAAGACAGTGTTTTAAAAGTAAGTAAAATAAAAGAAAGACAGTGATTTTAAAAGTTCGTGAAATAAAAGAAAGACAGTCGTTTAAAAGTAAGCACGCAAAGAGACATCTAGAGGGGCATTATCTTTTAGACTGTCATCATGAGGGGTGGACTGTTGTCCAAATCATGAACGAAATTGTGGTTCTGAAGTTGCATTGTCATTTAAGTGAAGGACAGTTTTCTTCAGTACCACGTGATCAATTCGCTTAGATTTGTGTCGAGGCTATTTACACATAACGGCGGTACAATCCCTTGAATACACCGTTAGCATTTGTTTCGAGGTTACTTACACTTTCGGCGATATAATTATTGAGTCAAATACGAGAGTCTACATGTTTAAACACATAACGCTCCTAAAACAATCATTTGAGTGCAATCCTCCCTATACAGTGCTTTGTTTAAACACACAACATTCCTTATAAAATCATTCATGTTCAAATCACTTGTTTAAACACACTACGCTCGCTATGCAATAATTAATTAAACACACAACACTCCTTACAAAGTCGAAAATTGAAGATTATAAAAGGAGATAACTGCGTTCATACAAAAATATTCCCTTTATTCCCGTTACCTCCCCTGGTTCATCTGATCAGATCCCCTAGCGTAGTCTACCTTGCCACATATCCACATACACTTAAGAATGATCACATCAGGTTTCATGTCAAGAATTTTCATTTAAAAAGAAAAATAACGGAGTAGTTATTTAGAGTTGTCTAGGAACAATGTTGAGCTAGCGGTAGTGATACCTTTATCAGCTTGAAATAACGCTGACTGTGTGTAGTAAAAGGATAGTGCTATTATAATCAGTGGCGTAGCTGAGGGGGGGGGTGGGGACCGCACCAGATGACACCATCCGAGGGGGTGACTTTAAATTTAAAAATTGCATATTTGCAGTGTCACACTTTGCTCGATCTAACCGAATTTCATAAAAGGATACTCGATCACGCGTCATTTTCTTCACTCGTGTAACCAATCCAAACGCGTCCTGTATTAAACGTTCAAGGTTAATGACAGAAATTAGGTGATTCTGTAATTAGGTGAGAAAAACACCATTGGGGTCACGATTCAACACCGATTGAAGCGTTCGGTAATTTTCGTAAGTGACAGGAAGCAATATTTATCTAAATTCTAAGAAATAATACTTTATATAAATACGATATGATCGATCGATTCCAAGTACGAAAATCGAAACGGTACAAAAATAAAAATATTAAAAAATTAATTTCTACCCATTTTGGGGGTAAATGAAGTAATATTCCGAACATTGATTTAAAATCTTTCAATAATTAATGGTTTATAATTTTTTTTTTATTAAAGTGGGGTTTTGGAACCAAAATTTGGAAACCAAAAAATGCTCAAAAAATTATTTTCGCCCATTCTTCATTACCACCGCGCTTTAACATTTGGGCACGATTGTCATAAGGCACAAGATCATTTACATGCTGTCTGTGCTTTTACATTGATCTTCTACATTTACCTTTGGGCTGATCTATTTGAGGAAGTTAATCTTGCACAGCAGTATCTGCAGACTCAAGAAGTCTTTACTCTTGACAAAGTGGTGACCAACCTATAGGCCTTAAGATTGTTTCTGCACGAAAAGACCTGTCACTTGGTGGAACATGCTGTTGAAAAGACACTTTTAAAATCAGATCAATATGGAATTTCGGTAGACATAAGATTAAGGTGTAAGAAGAGAATAGCAGAGAACAATGACTAGATGTTGGACTCTCTCTGACAATTACTAGATGTTGGACTCTCTCTGACAATTACTAGATGTTGGACTCTCTCTGACAATGACTAGATGTTGGACTCTCTCTGACAATGACTAGATGTTGGACTCTCTCTGTGACAGTAAAAACAGTAGGAAAATGCCGGAGAGTATCAAACGTTTTCATTCTGAGCCCCAGATCAGCGATCAAGGAAGTATCATACATGTTTGGGGTTGTTAAACCCAAGAGTCTACTATCATCAAGTAAATACGAGTTATTGGTGTCCATTCCAATATTAACCTCTTTCTGTGTTGACTCATCAGAAGATGAACTTTTAAAAGAAATAATAAGGCTTTGAGAATCTCTGATATTGAATTTCACAAAGCCATGGATTGATGTTTGATGTTTGATGTTTTGAAATTCATAGCTGAATGGGGGCTTCAAAACTAAGGCTTATCAAGAACTATTTACGATCCACCATGGGACACTCAAGGCCTTCTGATCTGGCTCTGCTATCAAATAAAAGTCTAACGTTGAAGTATATTGATTTTGATCAAGTGATTGACAGGTTTGCAGCTTTGAAGACCAGGAAAGGAATTTCTTTTAATAATGTCAATTTAATGTAAACATGACTGCTGGTATAACATAACGTTGTTACAGTTCTTAAATTCGTTTACCTCCTGACCTTCAATTAATTTGTTGTTTGTTTTGGTTCTTTTCATTGTTACGATGTGGACTTATTTTAACAAGAAGAAATTCATCGGGGAAGTGAGGGGGGGGGGGTGACACTATGAGTTTACCGCACAGGGGGGGGGGGGGGTGACACTATGAGTTTACCGCACAGGGGGGACACCAACCTTAACACTGATTATAATAAAGCACTTTTAAAATTTTTTAAAATTATATCTTAAACACAGCCCATGATTCTACTACATTTTTTTTTTTAAATTAAAAAAATTGTTTGCTGTAGTAGACCCTTCACTGGCTGGATATAACTCTTAGCGGGATTCCCAGCCTACTGACCATAACGCTTCTCATTAAAGAAAAATCAATTTAGTTCGAATTTAAAAAAAAAAAAATAAGTTTAAAACGCGATGTAAGTTAATTGCACAAAATAATTTGTTTCCCACCTTTTGAAATTTCCCACATTTTTCGATTCATGCATTTTTAAATGTCAAATAAGACCTGGTATTCAATGATTCTTGATTGTTCACGTGCAGCGCCAGGTCTCTGTTCTTTCAATACACATCAAAATGTTCCGAGATATGATCCCGCCATTGAATAAACCTTGTCATGGTCATTTTGGAGAAATTTGACCCATGGCCAATGATGAAATGTTTAACGTGGGAAGAGAATGTCCGCCAAAATAGCACTTAGTTTGGTCTATTGATATCTTATCTTGAAACTCTTTGTGTTAAACGTGGGCCATCATCTCAAAAGATGGTGTGGTCTATTGATATCTTATCATGAAACTCTTCAAGTTAAAAGTGGGCCATCATCTCAAGGGATGGTGTGCTCTATTTATATCTTATCCTGAAAGTATTCAAGTTAAAAGTGGGCCATCATCTCAAAAGATGGTGTAGTCTATTTATATCTTATCCTGAAACTATTCAAGCTAAAAGTGGGCCATCATCTCAAAAGATGGTGTGCTCTATTTATATCTTATCCTGAAACTATTCAAGTTAAAAGTGGGCCATCATCTCAAAAGATGGTGTGGTCTATTTATATCTTATCACGAAACTCTTCAAGTTAAAAGTGGGCCATCATCTCAAAAGATGGTGTGGTGTATTTATATCTTATCATGAAACTCTTCAAGTTAAAAGTGGGCCATCATCTCAAAAGATGTTGTGGTCTATTTATATTTTATCCTGAAACTATTCAAGTTAAAAGTGGGTCATCATCTCAAAAGATGGTGTGCTCTATTTATATCTTATCATGAAACTCTTCAAGTTAAAAGTGGGCCATCATCTCAAAAGATGGTGTGCTCTATTTATATCTTATCATGAAACTCTTCAAGTTAAAAGTGGGCCATCATCTCAAAAGATCGTGTGGTCTATTTATATCTTATCATGAAACTCTTCAAGTCAAAAGTGGGCGATCATCTCAATGGAACAAATCCATATTAATTATAAATATCCAATGGTCGCCAAGACCTCATCGGTTTTATGATAATAAGGTACATTGAACAATATATTGAACAGAGTGTACCTGATATTGAGCATACTGAAGATGTAATACGCCAACCCCCCCCTCCTCCCCGTCTCATACCATTGTAAATAAATCGAAACCATGGAAATGGCAAAAACATTTAATTCGGTCAATCACAATACCTGATATTGAGCATACTGAAGATGTAATAAGCCAACCCCCCCCTCCCCCCCGTCTCATACCATTGTAAATAAATCGAAACCATGGAAATGGCAAAAACATTTAATTCGGTCAATCACAAAAAAAAAAAAAAAAAATCCTGGAAATTATTCAAATAAAACAAAATCTTTTTAAAACAAAACAATATCATTCAATTCATCGTCATCAGTAGGAGCATCACATGACATTGTGTTACTTCAATAAAACTTCATAGATCTGGACCCCTTCATATCTTCATACAACTGGACCCCTTCATTTCTTCATACAACTGGACCCCTTCACTTCTTCATACATTGGACTGCTTCATATTTTCATACAACTGGACTGCTTCATATCTTCATACAACTGGACCCCTTCACATCTTCATACATTGGACTGCTTCATATTTTCATACAACTGGACCGCTTCATATCTTCATACAACTGGA